CTACATTAAACGCGATGTACAATAATTATTTATTTCTTAATAAATTGTATGTCATAAAATAAGAACTACTTTTTTACCAAACCCAAATGAAACAAATATTACAAACAAAATATTTGTAGAACTTTTTTTCTTTTTCATTTGATAGGTACCAAATTATGTTACACTATAATATTCTCTGTTTTAAACATGGTCATTTTTTTGTTGGTACTTTTATGTAAAAAAAAAAAGTTTACTTGAAAACCTGAAATTATGCCAGACTTTTATTTTTGAATTTGGTTTCTTTGAAAACTGAAGTGTAATTCACAGCTTATCTAGCTGTTTTTGGACCATTCAGTAGAACGAACTTCTGGGCTCTATTAAAACTTTATATTAGGATATCCAAGTATCCCAGAAAGGCATGAACGTGTCATGTCGTAATCATTAATCGACGGACAATCACTGGCACAGGGCAGTAATGCTATGACGTATTTGCAGCGCACCTAAGTATAGATTAGCTGTTTTTGAGCAATGTGAGCCCAACTCGAAAGTCGGGCATTAGAAAAATTATTCATCTAGACTCCTTTGAGTGCTCCCCTCCACGGAAATCTTTAGTAAAAGGCGAAAGATTTATTCGCATTGAAAGGGAACCGGAGTTGGACGATTGCGAGGCAATTATCAGTTCTTATGCTCTGACAGCTGCGGTCGACCCGTCGAGTGAACTCCCCCATGACCTTGTGTCATTCGACCGGGACTGACCGCCGACAAATGTATTTTGCCAGCATTCGACCAGCCCGTGAGTCGATGAAATGCCGCAGAATTCAAACCTTTTACTTTCAATTAGATTTCTAGTAAACTTTACCCTGATTTCCATGGGTGCTCGTTGGGAATTTTAACGGAAACTCCCAAAGACGCCATCTACCGACAAGATAGTAGATATCTAGTCGCCGCCGCCGCCGCATTGACTGACACCCTGCTTTAAGTTCTAAAATTATTATTATTTATCGATTTTACCAAAACAAAATGTTTATATGGAGAAAATAAAGAAGCCATAAGGCCACGCAAGTCTCCGGGTACCTATGTCGTATGAACGACTGCAAGTTTTCTAATGTAATATTTGCATTATTAGACCTATCTCATAAAAAAAAACCGCTATAGTAAGTGAATAGTCGGTCTCCCTCCCCAGAGGGTCGCAAAGCATGGCACAACCAAAATGTGAAAGATTTACTTCTGTGACATTTATGCGTCGAAGATTTTAAGTGTCTGTTTACCGTGTGTAACATAATATGACCCAATCTCATATTGAAACTTAATTTATACGAATAAAAATATTTACTAGTTTACCAATATTGTTCTCTAAATTGTGTAGGTATTTTTTGCAAAAAATTAAAACTATAAAGCTTAGGAAAAAGTTTTAAAAACCTTATTTCATAAATTTTGAATTCTATGGGCTGGCGGGGTTCACTGATCATATACTCTTATCACAAAATATATTCTTTCAAATTTGAGTGTGTGATAATAATATTATCTTGATAAATGATAACACAATTAATAATATAGTACTGAAGATTATATGACCATAAGGCATTTTGAATCAATAATTATTATAATTTATATTAGTAGTTGTGTTTACTGTTTAGTGTTCTGTGCTGTCTCCACCATAGTCTCCTACAGAAAATATTAATGATAAATCACCGTACAAACGTACACCAGTAAAACACTTGTTCAACAAAAACTCCAGTAAAGAATATTCGAGAAAGCAATCATTATTCAAGCTGCCAACAGTGAAAATGTTTATTATCACACCGTCCAACAAACCTTAGTAACTTTGTCAATTACTTTTATGCTACAGAAAAACGGTTAGAATCTCCCGTAACTTTACCTAAGAGCAGAGAAATGCTTTATGAATCAAGTGCTTATGCACAACTTGCTCAATGTGTTGTATCTTTAAAGCAACAATTAAGAACAATTTTTTTGATAGTTTGATCACAGTATAAAAAGTGCTTTGAAAATAATAACTTTTTGTGGAACTATGAACTTGGATAATAACTTCTCAGACTAAATTTCCCTTTACCGTTTTGTCGAGTATTACATAGAAAACATGAAAATGTTATACGACATATAAGATAACACATAAGAACTGTTATCCGCAAATACTACCTCATTGGATTTCAGCAAAATATTGTAGCAGATGAGCATAGCTGGACGTTAATTAATGCTACGACTTCAAGATGACCGTTAGTACGTATGTAAAAGGACTGCACAGTACATTAGAAATGTATTTCTCTAATATATTTAAATCGATGGTTAATTTTAAAATTGTAACCCAATACATACAACACAAAAATAATTTAAGTATATATTAAAGATAGTAAAAGTATTGATAGATTTTTTTACCTATTGTTGTACATATATGGTACTGACATTTACGAAAAATAATATTTAAATCATCTGACTATTATAATTATTATTGGCTTGATAAAAACTGAAATATATATCACAAAAATGTTGGTTTGTATTTTGTTTTTTTGTACCTATAATATTATTTTGGTTAATTGTATAGAACGATGTTAAACACATTTACTTTTATGCTCTTGAAAACTATGAAAAATGTTCCTTATGCTTACAGCTAAATAGACTTTTAACGGTTAACCAACGAATTTTGTATTCAAAGTTCATGGGTAGTTATTACTTATAAATGTATTTACTTTTGAATTTTTTTATTTTTTTCAGTTACTAACACCAAGGGATTAATACAACAACAACAAGCTTACTACTAAAAATTATTAAAATTATTTTCATAAATTTACTCGAGTTTTAGCAAAAAAATAAAAATTGGAATACTTAATAAAATAAAATAAATATTTAAATCCATAGCATAAAGCACACGAATTATATTGGATTAATTTAACACAAGATAAAGATAACCGACAGTTTTTTTTTTTTTACATAATCATTAAGTTTTGTACATAATAATAATTTTATATTTTATTATTTGAATATTGAATAAATAATAAACTTGATTTATTTGGTATGAATTTCACTATTAATTAGAGTGTATTAATTTAGTTTAAAAATAAATACATATAAAGGCTAAATTCACTATGTGTAATACGTTCAATATAAAACTTAATAATATACTTTATAAATGAAAAAATACGCTATACAATAATTTTATACCATTTTATGTTTAACAAATTCACATTTCAACTATTTTTAAGGAACTTTTTTTTTTATTTATAAAAGAGTTTCATTCATTGACAAACTGCGTATAAAAATGTTATTATATTTTTTTGTTGCAATTTTTATCTAATTTTTTATTTTCTTCATCCAGATAATCATACATGGACATTAAAGGAAAGAAGGACAATTGGATGTTTTATTGAACTGTATGAGCTCAACTTTAATTAAAACTCGAGTGCCGAGCAAAGAATTTGCCGTAAAACTATTGGCAATTCAAGTTGACGCTTCGTCGTATTAATTTTTTTTTATAACTTCTATATAATAATTTTGTCAAACAAAGTACTAACACCCTCTGTCCACCAGCGGTAACTATATATATGTATATTTAACAGTTACATAATAATTTATAATATGTTTAGAGGCCATAATTCACAGTTTGTTGTTGTTCTAGAACTTGTGTTCTGCCTCTTTAATATTAGGCTGCTGCTACTAGATGGCAAACGTTTTAAAAATAAACGATAGGTGGCCATTATTTTAAATTTGGTTACTATAGCAAACAGATTTTAAATGATTGTAGATTTTGACTTGTCCAAAATACTAGAGGTTTTTGTATTTTCCATAATAATTTTGATTTTGAATTTAAAAATACTATAAGATAAAAATTTTGGAATTCGACTATCTCAAAATACAATAGAGGATTTTGACAATTGCAAAATAATATTTGATTTTGAATTATCCAAAATACTAAAACATTTTTAATTTACCATAAGGTAATATTGAATTTTTATGATAATTTTGATTTTGGTTTCTCCATAATATTATAAGATTTTAACTTTACCATAACAATTTTGAATTTTTATGATATTTTGGTTTTACCGAACATTTTTTGATAAATTCAAAATAATTTTGGATTTTGAGTTTTTTTAAATACTAGAGCTTTGAGTTTTTTGAATTTGCTTTAATAACTTTGATTTTGAGTTTTCTAAAACGCTATAAGATGAATTTTAACGGCCAAAATAATTTTGAAATTTGAATTTCCAAAAAAACCTAATGTAAGATTTTGACTTTTGCAAAATAATTTAGTATTTTGAATTATTCCAAATTTTGAAAATAAATATTATATCACTACAAACATAACAGTAGTGCTATCTAACGGATGTACAGTAAAGCAGTAGAGAAGGCGACCATACACAAATGTGGGGACCGCATTTTCCGCGGCTGCCGGTAGAGGCCGCTGGATTTTTTTTTAGTTTGTGAATTTTTGGTATGTTTTTTTTCAAAAATTCGATCCAAAATCATTAAGAAATCTTTTTGAAACGTATTATTTTAATTGTAATTGATATTTACAAGAAATTAGAGCAACTTTCAGCACGTTTTCGTGCATATTTCGAGCGTTTTAGACAATTTTTTTGAGTTTTCCCAAATTTTCGTTCTGCTTTTTTTTTGTGCGGGAGTTTTTTGATATATAGAATATAGTTTGTAAAGCAGGGTGCGTGCATTTGCTCGCCTTAACAGTAATGATTTAACTAAAAGTTGATTCCGACACTTTATCATAGGCTTGTTACTCTTCTGTAAACAGTTCGACCTGAATTGTAGTGATAGGAGAAAAATACAGGATCTGTGATTTATAACAGGCACCCATAGGACCAATGTTTATATCGGAAGCAGCTTTTTTGGTTAGGGGTGCTTTTATAATTGGTCCAAATATAAAAGCACCCCTAACCAAAAAAGCTGCTTCCAATATAGACATTGGTCCTATGGGTGCAATGTCTACAATTAAATCCACATTAGATACATTACTTCAAAAAAATCAAATGCCCACTTATGATTTAACGGATGAACCTGTTAATGAAAACCAGTCTGTGTCACATTTTGCTAATTCCCAAGATACATCTAAGAAACTGACTAGTGAACGTTTTCAATCTTTACAAGTGGAAAAAAGAAGATTAGAAGAAATTATGCATAGATTTACAAAAAACATTGATAATATGAAGGTAAATCAAACTAATTTGAATCTAGAAAAAACTAGAAGAAATTAAATTTAATTTTAGGCGTAAAAACTAGCTAAATCAGACAAGTACTTTTAAAGTTATAGGCTATCCCGGGGAAGATCCAAAATTACTTTGACTCGTTCAAAATTACGATGGACGACTCAAAATTATTATGGATAAATCAAAATTCATTATATTTTTCGAAATTCCATGTGTACAATACAATCATAGGTTTTGAAAAATCTAAATTTATTCAATTTCGAAAATATTTGTGGACTTGTTTAATATTATGTTTAAATTGCAATATATTAATTTTGTCCTCGACTACTGTATAGTAACTAATTTAAAAAACAGCCGTCGTTTGATTTCAAAGTTATCGCTCGTGCTTAAGCCGCAACAGCCCAAAAATTAAACAACAATTAAAGACCAGTTATTTTGAAAAATGTCAAATACCAAACATTTTACACCATGGCCACCAAAATATAAAATATACATATTATGAAGTATTCATTAAAAAACAAATCCTTAGCAACCGACATTTATTATTGCAAAATTCAATCAGTTTTTAAAAAATTTGCCATCAATTCATATTCCTACACTTGTAATGTACTTGGTCAAAAATGCCAATTGCTCCCTAGGGTACCAAACATTTTAAATTTCAGTTTTTAAAATTTCCTTTATTCATTTATCGCATGGTCTTATGATGTAACTTAGTATTTGGTAAAATAATTGTATCTTATAAACTTTGCCATGACTTTGCAATAACCAAAATTCAAAATTGATTCATTAATACATTGTTCAACAATCAACATAGTAGTCTGCCCATTTATCGACAAATAATGTATTAAAATATTTTATCGTGCACAATATTAAAATAATGTGATTTAGTTTGTATTGTACAATTTTATTTTATTTTTAGTGCTGTGAAAACTAAATTGTATGCAGTGTGTTACATCATATATTATATTATTAAAAAAAGAATAATAGTTATAATATTGTGTTTAAATAAGTAACATAAAACACGGTTTTATCGCCAACGACCATACCACGTTGAATACACCAGTTCTCGTCCGATCACTGAAGTTAAGCAACGTCGGGCGTAGTTAGTACTTGGATGGGTGACCGCTTGGGAACACTACGTGCCGTTGGCAAATTTTTGCTTTTTATAACTATACACTATTTTTTTGTTGAGCTGTAGCTGTATAAACTAAATTGTACGTCCACAGGCGGATAGGCTAAATTTATTTTTATCGAGAAAATATATCAAAACAGCCCTAAGCTTCTTATAAGTACACAGGACGGTATGCTTTTTTTAAATTAAAATGTTTTATGTTGCATCTTTGAAAATATAACCCATATTCCAGATATCACATATCTTAGGTATATTATTGAATTGAATATTTTAGCGTCATCGGCAAATAGAAATATATGAAAAATAGTAATAGATAATTGTTAGAAAAACCTCTAGTATTTTGGACAAGTCAAAATCTACAATCATTTTAAATCTGTTTGCTATTGTATAACTAAATTCAAAATAATGGTTATCGTTTATTTTCAAAATGATTGCCATCAAGTAACAGCAGCCTAATATTAAACAGACAAAACACAAATTTTAGAACAACAGCAAACGGTGAATCAAAGTCGCTAAAAATATTAAAAATGTTGTACATACACTATATCTGTTAAAAAAAAAAAAATATTCGTTTATTATTCTGTATATAACTTTAGGCAATTAAAATGTATAAGTTTTTTTGTAAATTTCACATAAGACTTAATATGATATTTTGTTAAACACCATCGTGACGGTCACAAAAAAAGTAAAATAATAATTTTTTGAAAATATTGGTTTTCCGTAGAATTAAATTATAATTTTAAACAGTTGTATAAATAAAATAGCAACAAAGAAGAAAAAAATTGCATAGACTCGGTGAATAGAATTTTGGTCTTTCTATAGAGGAAGTGGAATTTAAAGATTTTACATTATTTTTACATATTGTATAACAAGTAGTAGGATTTTCTTATAAACTGTAGCAACCAAAACTAGTCGTTAAAATAATTGTCTGTTAGTATAGATCTAAAAAAAAATAACATATTATAATATATATGCCTATGTCATATGTTATGGCATAATAATATTATAATATATATGCTTATGGCATAATAATATTATATAGATACATAATTTCCCCAAAAGCCCATAGCACAATTACTGATGGCAATATGCATGCTACGGCTCAGAGGAAACAAACCGTGCATACTGTCCCATCGGTCGAACAAAAGTATCTAATAATTTTAAATTTAAATTAAAGGCGTCAATCCTGTACTTCAAGGGCGTTGTGATCGTCATATATTGTAAAAAATGAAAACCGGACGTGCCGCTGTTTGGACGCAGTCGAAACAGTCGTTGATCAGGCCACTGAGGGATACGCACGACCTCGTGGGACTGACCACGTCGGTAGTGTGCGTGGGGTGCGGAACCACGGTGGGCTTGAGACCGGGATCGGCGGTCAGCGGCGCGCGTGCCATCCGGCTGTTGGCCGAGGATTCAGACATCGCGGCGGTCGACACCGCGTTAAGTTACTTACTTCTCCCGACGCCAGAGTGATGGCCGACGCGAAGGCTCATCTGAGCTATGTAGTGGAGAAGACAACGGGCGGACACGCGGACGCTGCGCTTGTGACGGAGTTTCTATCGGGCAGCTGCGAGGGAGAGCTGCGAACGGATAATTCATGGGCTGTAGGGAAGACGGTGTCCGATAATAGTTTTGTGTTTAAATAAGCGAAATAAACTCCCTCCCAACGCCAACGACCATACCACGTTGAATACACCAGTTCTCGTCCGATCACTGAAGTTAAGCAACGTCGGGCGTAGTTAGTACTTGGATGGGTGACCGCTTGGGAACACTACGTGCCGTTGGCATCCTTTTTTTTTTTTGTTTTTGGTTCCAATATTCCTTGTTTATACTGGTACTCTAATAATATTAAAGACGTAAAAGTTTAAAATTATATATTGCTACACCCTGTGGTTTTCCAAAATGGTAAAATATATGTTGGATTAGTTTTTAAAATGTTATTTCTTTTTATCATTTCGGCTTTAAATAGGTATTATGTTTGAAACATTCTGCTCTTATTTTAATTTTGGAAAACAAAATTATTGATTTTACACACAATTTTAATTTTTCGTTACTATGCAAACCAATGTTTTATAATAATTAGTAGTAAACAAGAAAATGGGAATATTTTTGGAAAATGTATTGTTGCCAAATATAAAGGCCAATATACACATATAACAGTATTATTTCAGATTTTAGATCGACATTTTGGAAATTGTGAAATACAAAATCATACTTATGTACAGTAGCAACCGTATTTCAAAATATGCACTGGCTGACAAAGTCAATATGTTGTTTATACTTATTTTGAAAAATGTTAAATTTTAAAACTGCGCTGTAGGAATTTAACTTACAAAATAACATATGTATCATATAAGTATAGTTTTATAGGTGTGTACATTGTTTTTGTTTCGAGTTTTGTTTTGCCAGGTTGTTGTCTTCGCTAAAAAAAAATGTTAGAAATATAGTACTCAGTTTTTTATTTCCAAGCAGGTCATCTACAGCACACCACGTACATATTTTGAATTACAATGTTTTTAAATACAATTATAGGACTTATGTGTGTCTTGCGTTTCATTGAGGTAAATAGTACCTTAAATTCAATCGAGACGAATTCAAAGGCGGTATGTATATTATAATATTATATAAAAACTCTTACATTAAAAAAAAAAAATTGTAGTATACGTGGCTAAAATATTACTATTCATTATGATAAAACATAGATGGTAGAAGATGTTGTTATAAGGTGGGTACAATGTAATTTTACAATAATAAAGAAGAGTTAGCAGCATAGGAATAACCCTTCGTGGAAATATTTATTTTTTCCTTTCTCGTCAACAGATATCTTCTTCTTCTATATGAACAAAAATAAAATGATGTTCGTAGCTGATGGTATCACTTGAGAACGGCTGGACCGATTTAGCTTATTTTTTTTTTTTTAATGTTCGTAACAGTCCGAATAAGGTTTTAGCGAAAAGAAAAATTGAAAAAGTTGAACGGAAAATTTAAAATTTTAGTGAAAGTTTATTCCAATAGATAGCATTACTTGCGCAAATATCCCAGCTGACATTTGGACAGTTTGGTATACTGCGTAGCTGCCCTCACTCTTGGGCGAAGCCAGGGCAGCGCAACTAGTTTAGAATAACTATAAAATTAGACAAATGTCTAATGTCGTTGGATCGATGAGATGTCTACAGACATAGTGTCTGTAGACATTTCACTATCATTCTACACGAATTGATCGTTATGTTTACATAAACAAAATGCATATTCACAAAACACTCAAGGATGATGTAAACGGGGAATGGCAAGAGAAATTTTCCAAGTACGACACAGACAAGAACGGTTTGATCTCCGCAACGGAATTACAGAAACTGTTATTCAACGAGTCGATCGGATTCGTCACCATTAAGCAAGCAACCAATTATATACCTTTGTTGGATAGAGGCGGTAATAATATTAAAAAATATACAAATACGTCTTTAGATTTTACATTAAAATCACTCTACAGTTGCCATTAATATTTTTCAGGCAAAGGGCAAATTAGATTCGACCATCTCAAAAAAATCGAACCGATAATGGCTATTTTGTCACAGGTTAAGTCCGTATGATTATTGTATTTGTATTTCTTTTTGTTGTGATTTCGACATTGTGGTCTGTGGTATATATGTGATATACTTTGGACGTAACAGACATAATAGGATTTATATGGATCCTTTAATTCAATAGTTCATACGGCATCGTTGTGAACTCCTCGGAAAACATTAGGCTGTAGATTGGATTGAAAGCTTTCTTAAACAGTGGCCGCCAATATAAAAACTAATATACTTGTATCGTATAATTTATTTATATTTTCTGATTAATTGACCTTGGATATCGGAAGTGGTAACAAAATTACTCTTTTATCACACTTTCTTACAATAATATATGCTTACATTATAGGTCAATAATATGCAGTGGCTTAGGCGGGTAGAGACTGAAAGGGCAAAAGCTTAAAAACTACTCACTACTACTAATTCACGTCCATAGAATTCAGCAAAGGACGGCTAAAGAACAATTTTTTTTTATAACACTATTACACTGTTTCCGTAATAATAAAATATTTTGAGTATGAGCCGAGAACTCTTAATTTTAGGCTACAAAATCATAATATTTTAAATGGTTGACTAGTAAAATTGGCCAGTTCATTAATCTAATCTAACCAGTAGGATAGCCTAGGTCCATCTTTTGTATGTACAAACTACCAAAATTAAAAATGTCGTGATCTTTGATGATTCATTGTTACAAAAATGTTGTTTTCAAAATTAATGCCAAGTAGGAGTAGCACTTTAAATAGCAAACACACAGCTAAGATTGACAACCGATTAGACAAATAATGATAATTTTTGTCTTAGAAAAAATCACAGAGAAAGGTTTATTGAGCTGAAACTTTAAATTGAACATGAATATAAAATTCCCTTAAAGTACTTATACAAGTGTTTGTTGTTTTTGTAGCAACTTATAATATAAAGAAGGATTAGGAAGTAAAAGAAAATTTAAAGATATTTTACTCTGATACTGTTTCATAAAAAAAATATAATTAAATATTTGTATTGTTTTTAAAGTTATTCAGATACACATAAAAACTATATTATTTTTTTTTTCATACTGAACTGTACATAACATGCATTTCTTATATTATTTTAGCGGAAAACATTGAGTTTAGTGGACGACAAAAAAACTATTTCGTCGACGGATTTCCAGAAATTGCTGTATGAAAATTTTAAACAGACAATTTTCGAATCGCTGGAAGAAGTTGAAGAAATAATCGACCTTATTAATAAAGACGGTAGTACAAAACTTATTTGTTGAAATTCGGTTTTTGTAAATATTGCCCACGACTGTTTTCAGAAAATGGTCAAATTAAATATAACAAGTTCATGGAAATAGAAAATATGTTGAAAGCTACGTTACAGGTTAATAATGACTTTACTTTGTTTTTTATAGTCTATTTTTTTTCTAACAACTATACGACAGAAATTGATAATGAATTAGTCCGACATTTTTTTTTCACTATTTTTGATATCTTTATGCTCTAGGTATTTATTGTATTGTAACGTTCTTGTCATTATTGTTCATTGTTAACTAGATAGATACTAGATTATTAGATAATTGTTGAGCCATCATATTTTTTTTAATAAAGGCTATAAAAAAGAAAATCAAATTTATAGAAATATGCTAAGTGACAAGACAGTATTCCAAGTTTGTTCATAAATATATGCCAGTAATACATATTTAAACATGTTATACAATTATATGTATATAAATTAAAAAATAAAATCATTAGGAAGGGGGACGTTAATATTTTCTTGCCAGAAAGTAAGTTACAAAAATAATATATTGAAGAATAAATGTAAGTGTTAAAATAAGTACAAATGAATAATAGTTTGCTTAAAACTTTTTTCCTGACTTTACTTGATGTGTAATTGTCCAAAACATCCTTGGAGGTTAGGTTAAGTTAGGTTAAGCTAGCTCGTACTTACCTAGGTTTTGGGTTTTTTTACATGGCACAAATGAGATACTTCTGTTTTTAAGTTCTCATCGAAATCGTTATTGTAAAAGTGAATACAATTATTTAATGAATCAACATCAGGTTCAATATCAGTTTTAATGTTTATCAACAACTTTTTAGTTGAGAAAAACAGATTATGAGCATATTTTAGTCTTCTGTCAAGGTCGTGACTCAATTTATATGTAATAACAAATTACTATCAACTTCAAACTTTTTCCTCTCACTTGAAATAGTTTCATTTTTTTTGTCGTTTTAGCGGTGATTTGTATTTTTTTTTTTTTTTTTGTTACTTAAATGAATATTTTAAAAAACTGGGTGATTGTAAATAGATTCATGTATAATCTTAACGAACAATAATAATAATATAGTTCATTGTATTTATAGGGAAAGAAACGTGTACAATAAATAATATAAATGAAATATAATATAAATGATTGTCTCCAAAAGCCTAAACTTGTGGAGGAGACAACAGTTCTTATCTAGTGGCATGCTTTAACTTATATATTAACAAACTCTCATATTAATTTAATGAAGTACAATATATCTAATTAATAATATTTTACTTAAATAATTAATATAATAATAATGTGAGCCCATTGGTCAGATTTTTAATCACTTAGATATTTTATCTTAAAATTAATATAGTTTTTATACAGATCATAACTTATAAAATGATTTATAGAAAAATATTATAAAACATACATACATTTATACTTAAATTAATAGGATCTCTTTTTCCAAATTCAGTATTATATTTTTCAATTTTAAACATGTTATTCTTCATTGAATAACAACGAATGTGCGCATTTTGTGTTAGAACGTTTTTAAAATGTTTTCCATTTATCTTAATATTTTAGTTGGACAATTTATTCGAGGTGTTTTCCATATTCGACACGGACAAACTTGGCGTTGTTACCGTTGATGCAGTTCAGGCCTTGATGGAAATAGCAAACTCAGAATCGGACGATTTTGAAAAAGCCACAGAAGCGATAAAGAAATTTGATAAAAACGGTAAATACTTAATGGACGACAACCAAATTAATATAGTAAACATAATGGTTATTGATTAATACCTACATTTTTTTCCAGGCGACGGTGTGATTGAATTTTCTGAGTTTTTACAAAATATCGATAATCTTAATGAAGATGAATTTTCCATATTTGAAGAATTTACCAAAAAGCTTAGTGTAACACTTTTTTAGTGTTTACTGTTGTATTTCAATCTTTTTTTTAATACAAGGGAACCAATTTTAAATAAACTGAATTCAATACAAAATTAATTCGCTTTATTTTTATTTAAAAATGTTGACTATAGTTTTATAATATATTTAAATCGACAATAAGTAAATCAATATAATATTGATCGATCAACGGCTGTAGGTATAATTTATTAACTATGAATAACTATGATTAACTATGAATTCATTATTAACTAATCATTGCACATATTTTATATGATACTATTTATAAAACAAACCACAATGATTAAATAATAATACAAATGTAAAATCAAAACAGAAAAATCATAAAACTAAGCACATAAAATCGATAAAAATGCTCATTTAAATTAAATACAATTAATAGGTAATAAACACACCATTAACAACATTTTTAACAACGCTCTATATATATATTTTTTTAATAAAAAGTATATTTTCTGTTACTGGAAATGATGACGAATGTATTAAGACTTGTCAATAAAAATAGTCTCGGCAATTGAGTATTAATTAATTTGTTTAATAATGATGATTGAAAGCGTAACATAACTGAGATAATTTTAGTAAAAAGCAGATTAAATATTTCAGATGATTCATAAGTTTGAGTGAGAATATCGTATAGCAGATAACGGGAAATAATTTTATTTTTTAAGTTAAGTTGACTTAAATGATGAAATTAAATTTAACCAAATGATATCATTCGAAAATACCTTTATTCGATAATTGTATAATATACACATGTAAGTATTTAAAAGTGAATACCACAATGAAGCACACTGTTCATTCGTGTAGCTAAATTGCCTACACTTGACGCCGTTCTCCAAACAAGCGCGTTTGTTGTCGACTTTAAATAATAATATAACTTTTTAAACGGACACTTTAAGGTAGGTTCAATGCCCAGATTAAAATATAGATCACAGATATATCTGAGTACTAAGAACGTACTATGTTTAGCTAAAGATCCAACCTGGTTCGGGTGTTTGAAACATCACTTTCAGTACGTTGAACCATCGTCGGCGCAAATAAGATTATATAATGTTTTTATCAAAAAATGTACCCAATTACTTACCAAAATTAGCACAATATTATTATTATTTTCACTCATAACGATTTTACTCGTAACCTAAAAAAAGCTTACAGTAATTATTTCAATAATCTAATATTGATAATTCCAGTTACATATAACTCACTCGACTGTGTAATAGAAATAATTATTTTTTTTAATGTGCAACATGGAATTTTTACTTAATTTTATCAGTTCATCATTTTCCTTTACTGTAAAGTGCCTATCCAGCCCAAAGGGTCCGCCATAACCACCATGATTAACACGATTTAACACGATCCGCTATAGTTAGAGTTTTAATATTTATTTCCATCGCGAAAACAGAAACAAAAATACATACAACACACGGCTGAACGAAATCGACTAAACAAGCAAAACAAATCTAGTAAAAACAACGTACAATTTTACAAGTATTTAATTCGGTTTGAAACACAATAATTACACGGTTTACAATTTAACAATAATATTTATTCAATATAGTATACAGGTAAACATTTATAACATATTATAACATGTTTTAAAGCATACAATATACAAAAATTTACAACAACAAATGTATACAAATAATTGCCGAGTAGCTCAAAGGTAAGAATAAGACAGTACAGTATACAAGAAAATACATAAATAAAATTATAGAAGTGACAAATAATAAGAAGTAGAAACGTTTAACACACAGTTAAAGAACAACACAATAATTGGAGATGTGAAACACCTAAGTCGCCTGACCAAAATGGTATTCAAGGCGAAATTCTAAAATGTCCCTTTCACTGTTGATTGGCCCTCTTTTTGACGGGTAGTTCCTCGTCATCAGACTCGCTTTCTGACACTTTTCTCTTTAGTGGGCGCTCTTGTGTTTCGGATTCGTCCTCACTCATATCACTGTCCATGTGGGTTACGGCATAGTCAGGATTCCTAATCATACAAACATACACTTTATTATTGTAAATAGCGTATACAAGGACTTGTCGCTCAGTCGGTAGCTTACATGTGCTCCACTCCGGTGTGCCAGTAATCTTGGACTTCGCCATATCCGATGAGATTGCTAAAACATTAAACATACATTTGTAAGGTATATATATTTTATACATTTTTTTTTCATTTTTAACCAAGACTCGGGAGGTGACGCTGACCTTAGTCAGTTCACTACCCCTAACCCCCCCCCCTCTCAATCATTTATTATTGCGACACAAGATACAATATTAGTAGCTTAACAGTAATAATAATAATCATCTTGCCGGAGGGAAAATAATATATGTAAACAAAATTTGGCTGTTGTGGTCGTTATGTAATGTGGTTGTTATTTTACACAATATTATTATGTTTATTTCAAGTTCAAAGTTTACATACTTATTCTTCAGGTAGCAAACGTCACAGTTGCAATCCAACTGCACCGGCCGCAGTCTGGACGGTGGCGATTCCGGATCGGCCGGAAATCTTGAGGTTTCAGGATGGCTAATCGTAAAAAAGCAAAAATGCTCGTTATTAAAAAAACACTTGGTCCTCGACTTGTTTAGCCGGTCGACTTACTCGTCTGTCTCCGAACTGTCATCCAGCGAGGATGTCGAGATCGTGGACGCGATATCTGCATCTTCTGCTGTGGTGCGAAGGTCGCCGGCGCTAGAAAAGTGTAGTTGATATTTTTAAACCATTCGCAAATAATATACACCCGGCGAAGGAATGTATACGGGTAATGTTTTTTTCTGTATTTATAGAAATACACAAGTGTAACATTTTCGAGCGGTTACCGTAAGGCTTCCGCTACAATGTCGATGTCCCAGTCCTCTTCTTCCACGAAATCATCCTCATCCTCATCCTCGTCCGGAAACGTAGGTTGTGTAAATCCGTATACAATATCTTCCCATGGTTTCCGGGCACGTTCCAACGGCGGCATGTTGAGTTTTATTACAGCTATCCAAGTATATCCAAGGTAAAGCGAAAGTAGTAAAATTGTATTTGCACACATACCGTTGATTCGAGATACCTAAATCAATTCGACAAGGTAGGTGTTGGACTTCCAGTTGTCAGAATAAACGTTCTTCGGGACGATGTGTACTCAATAATGAGTAAAATATGTAGAACCGAAACGTGTTTCGGGATATAATATAAAAAGGGACAAAATAATTACAAAGATTGCAAAATTAGATAACAAGATTACAAAATTACAAAGATTAATAAATTATACAATTCGTTGAAATGACAAAACTATTTTGCATTTGTTATTTTTGTTACTATGTTACAAAATATAATATTATAGGCCTAGGCTCGGAATATTATTATTTATTATTGAACCGGCAATAATACAATAATAATTAATAACTAGGCAAAAGTTTAACGCCGTTTAGATTAATTTGAACTATTGGGGTTTTCCCAATAGAAGACTTTTGACGATTATTTCGACGATTATTTTGAAGGAATATAAATATTATTAAAATGTCTTTAAGCAGTGCACCAGGCCAAGTTATAACAACGCCTGTGTACCTTTACACGAATCAATTCTAACCCACATATCTCTGTTTCCTTTTAAAACATTACTAGCTTTTGAAATTTAAAACATAGATTAAGCTAGAGGAGCTTAGGATACTGTAAAAAGTTGAGCCCTTAATAGTAAGCCCCTTTCAAAAGGGGAGAATTTCAAAGTTTTCATTTTTGTTATTGACTCACTCACTCACTCACTGACTCATCATCAAAATGATAAAACTAAGGAAATAATTTAGAAGAAAAGAAAAAGGGCCAAGTTCCAGACCACCTCCCAAAAAAGTCAGCCTATCAAAGTAGGGGTATCTACATTGCGACCAAGTTTGTTTTATACCTCATTCAGAAAGGTCTTATTTCATACAGAAACTGGCCAAGTGTTAAGCAATACAAATGAAAGAACAGTGTTGCTCGTGAAAGTGGGAGTGAAGTGAGGATATGGACTAAAGAAACAGCAGACTTAGCCACAATGTAGATATCACAACTTTGATAAGCTGACTTTTTTGGGAGAGGGTCTGGAACTTGGCCCTTTTTCACTGTTAGGTTTTTGTTGGGGTTCACTTTTACAATAAACGACACTACTATAGTCTGGGTGTTACAGTGAGATTGTGTAATTTATAATGTTTGTTTGATTTTTGTTTTTAATACACAAGTATTAGTTAGTTTAAATCAACTCGGTGATCTTAAAATAAATTGCGTTTATTATTTGTATAAAAATTAAACTTGAAATATAATCCAATATTATTTATAATACTATTTACTTGGCCAGAAAATGTTTACTTTAAAATTTAAATGTTTATACTGACATTGCATTAAAGCGATTAAATAAAGTAAGTTATTCATTACCATAAGTTTAGTGATACAAAACCATTTTAATTGTTAGTTAGTATTACGGTAAATATTTGATAATTTCATAGTATTGTAAAACAACATAAATACAAAGTTAAAAAAAAAATAGTTTTTTTCTCCGCTCCACCGAAACAAATTGAATCATGGATATAATAATAATAATAATAACCTTTAATACGAAATAAATTCCGTATAATATGACAGATACATTTAAAAATTAATAAGGTACATTTACATAAATGTAACAAAAAGAAGAACAGTAACCTGTTTACATTGCTGTTATGCACAGTAACTACTCTTTATTTTTAATTTATTAAATATACACATATTTTTTAAATTATTCAGGTTTATTTTTATTATTTATAATAATTATACAGTAATCTCGGTGGATGACCAAATTGTAATATTTCAAAAATATTTTATGTAGTACTTAAATAAAAAAACTAGCATAAAAATTAACTATGGAAGAGAGGGGAGAGAAGGTAAGGGTAGAGGAGATAAAGTGTGAAAAACTACACGAATAATCTTGGTTGACGTTAATTGCACAGAATGTTAGGTGAGCACATTTTTTTAATTTCTATGTAGGGCTCTAGTTTTAAATGTAATTCATTTTTGCCATTGGCAGAATTTTGTTTTAAAGGAGGGGGATGTACAAAGACTAAATTGTAATTGGGGGTGACAGATTGGAAAAAGCTTAAATGCCAACATAACTATGAAAATGGATGCGAAAAGAGTTTTGATTGTTGACAACAACTTTTGTAAAGCCATAATATGCAGGAACTTCATTTACTTAACTCATTTTTTGTTCCTATTAATATTTTGTGATGACACATTGTTTTTACGTTAAACATATTGAATAATTGATTTACTTTAAAAATTACAAGTGAAAACTTCAATTTTGTAAGTAGCATAAGTGTTTTGAATAACATGTTTACTTGACATAGTGTTTGCATCTTGTATAAAATAAATGTATGATTTATTTTTACAAATAACTTCAAAGCCTAAGTTTAAATGGCAAAGTATATACTTTATTAAATTTCGAAACGTTTGACTGGTTGAAAGCCAGTGTTGAATAATTAATTATAAAGTTTATAAAGTTTAAATTTTAGGAAGAGTGGAGTGTAGTGTTGTTTTTTTATTTAAGAAAGAGTGTCTTACGATAAATGGATCACCCTGTAAATAACCACATGACTACTCTTAGTTGACGCCCGGCCTGAAAACATAATGTAAAAAAAAAAACACTTGTTCTTGAAACTAAAAAAATAATCTTGGTTGGCTTCACAACAATACGTCATTTTAACATTTATATTAAAATTTACCGCTTGTTCAATACATTTGTATAAACTTTTAAAATATTTTACATTGTGTTTTTTTTTCAATTCCCTTTAAAAGCGACAATTATTAGATATTCGTTTTGTTGCCGGCTTAAACTTGAAACACGAGTAGAGATATACCAATAGAAATGTACTCCAAAATCACTTTTTTGTTATTATATAATTTTTTAGTTGCTAACCGTATACTAAGTGCACCGCCGAAGACGTTCACAGAACCTATCAACGACGATGTAAGTTTTTTTATTTTATCAGACGAGAATACTTGATTGCACAGTTTTTAATGTTGGTCAATTTACTTAGACAATTAAACGTAATACTTTCATCAATTGTCAGCGATTTTTGTCTTATATTTTAGTCACGTGCTCAAGTAAAAAAAAAAATTGTATTTTACCATAAATTATGTTATAATTTAGTATGAAAGTAGAACACAATCAGATATATATATATATATACATATACATATAGGGTGTCCCTCAAAGATTTGACAAATGAAATAACTTTTGTTCTAGTGTAGGAAACATTATGTTTGATAAGTATTTACTGTCAATTACAAACAATTGCTTACTGCCATATTAGAACACTGTTTGAAGAGAACGTTTGTTTCTGGGATAACTTAATAAAAACCCGTGCTAATCCAATCAAGCAATATAGCATGTGCGTCACTTCATGTATTTAGAACTACACTCCTTAACGCGGCATCCACAATCGCAACATTCAGATTTCCCTTTAGTTGCAATATAAGACCTAATAATATTAGTTAAAATAAATGTTTTAGGTTCTAGAAGCATCTTTCGATGACTGTAGAAAATGGTCGAAGAAACCTGTAGGATCTACTATTTCAGTGTCTGAATTTTTTTCGTATTTTGATGACGGTTCCGGTTGTCAACAAATTGTAGATTCCACAATACAATACTTGAATGAGACTCAACCTGGCGGTACGGACCAATGTAAGTTGTAACCATTAACTAAACTTAATTTATCATTTAACAATAATAACGATATTTCAAATTTCGAATGAATTGATTCCACATTAAATAGTTTAAGTTTTTTTTTTGTTTTAGACAAAATAGATTTAAGTCTATATAAAGAGCTTGTTAAAGCATTTTTCAAGTTCAAGAGACTTCCTCTACAATACTACACTGGAATTACAAAAGAGCCATCGGATAATGAGGTATTGAAAATGTTATATTTAATTTACATTACCTATGTTTCTTTTTTATATAATTATGCTAGAAAAGAGGAAACATTTTAATCCCATTCTCTACTTAGATTCTAGAAACGTCTTTCGATGACTGTAGAAAATGGTTGAAGAAACCTTCAAATCCTACAATTTCTGTGTCAGAATTTGTGTCGTACGCTGGTAACTACCGTCAAACTGTAAATTCCACAATAAACTACTTGAAAAATACTCGACCTGACGCTATAAACAAAAGTAATCACTAGCTATACTTCATATTTTATCATTTAACAATATTTTATTTGGTTTTAGACGAAATAGATATAGTTCTATATAAGGAGCTTATTGATGCGATTTGCAAGGTCAATGGGCTTCCTATAAAATTCTTCACTAAAATTAGAAAAGAGGCATCGGATGAAGAGGTTTCGTAAAATTTGTATTTAATTTATTAACATTTTAATCGCCATCGCTACTTGAACAATTGAAGTATTTCAATGTGCAGATTGATATAAATCATTATTCAATTTTATATTTCAATTATACAAACTTAAACACAATTATAATTGTGTAAAGTAATTAAAATTTCACGTTTAAAATCGCAGGCACTACTCTATACTTATTTAAACAAACGCATATTGTATATTACAACAAGTATAATAATATGTATAAAAAAAAATATTTTAGATTCTAGAAACATCTTTTAATAACTGTAAAAAATGGTTGGAGAAACCTTTGGAACCAACTATTACAGTGTCTGAATTTTTGTCGTACATTGATGATGGTTCCGGTTGTAAGAAAATTGAAGATTTCACAATACTCTACATAAATAAAACTCAAACTGGCGCTGCTAAACAATGTAACTCATAACTATACTAAATTTATCATTTAATAACAACTATCTAAGCTTCGAACCGTAGCATTTGGATTTAAAGATTTATATTAATTCGCTTTAATGAAGTTTGAGAAAAAATGTATTATTAAATGAATTAATAACGATATGGTTTTAAAAATATGGCATAAAATTGAATAGGTTATATCAATTAATGGTCATAGTACCTAGTTAGAAAAAAAAAATGTTATTTTATTAATTATTTTTTTTAAGTCAAGGATAATATCACCTAACCTTCCTGCAATAAGCTTTGTAGATATTATGTACGCTTTGTACATAAACAAATAAATGGTACTATTACTCCTCCCCACTCTAGACAAATTTACACATTAAAAAAAAATATATATATATATATAATCTCTAATAAATATATTTATGGGCTGTAAGACATATATCAACATGTTTAAACCAAGAATTTCTTAGGTCTACTTCGAATCTTTAATGAATTGATTCCACATTAAATAGTTAATATATTTTTTTTTTGTTTTAGACAAAATAGATTTAAGCCTTTATAAGCAGCTTATTAAAGCCATTTGCAAGGTCAATGGGCTATCTCTAGCATACTTTGCTGAAATTAGAAAAGTTCCTTCGGATGATGAGGTTTTGTAAAATTTTGTAATTAATTTACATTTACATTTATGTTCATTCCATCCGCTACTTAAACAATGAAATATTTGAATTGAAGTATTAAGCGCATCAGTGGTCTATACAATAAAATCGGTTTAAAGGGGTAATACAGCTTTTTAATTTTCACCATTGAACATAAAATGAATTAATGCAACAAAGTATACAGTGCTGCTATCTAGTGAAAAACAAAAAAAATTGAAAAATAGGCTGGTGTTGCATTTAAATATATCATAACCTCAGTTTTTTAATTTTTGGTATGTTAGGCCCCTGTTGCGCTCCACATCTCAATTTTCAGATTGATATAAATCATTATGCAAAATATTCATTGTGAATAACAAATAAACTAGTCCATACTGAATAATTGATTATACATTAATTGTTAGTTTGGTCATGACTGAAAAAATGATCATGGATAAACTTTTATTCATGGTTAAAACTTACAAAATCATTCATACAAACATTTGTTTAAGTTATAAAAAATATAATTATATTAAAAACATTTTCAGATCCTAGAAACATCTTTTGATAACTGTAGAAAATGGTTGAAGAAACCTTTAGAATCTACAATTTCAGTGTCTGAATTTTTGTCGTATTTTAATGACGGTTTCGATTGTGAACAAATTGTAGATTCCACAATGAACGTATTAAACGAGACACAAGCTGGCGGTACAGACCAATGTAACTATTACCTATACTTAATTTATCGTTAAATAATAATAACTATAGTAATTTCGTTACAAAGCTGCTGTGAAGCATTTGGATTATTTAAGAATGTGGATTCATTCGCATTTACAACATTTTAAATATGTGAATCGCCAACTGTAGAAAGGGCAAAAGACTAATTTTTCTAAATTTCATGTGTGAAAAAAACGTATTATTATTGGAAGTGGGTAGGTGCCATTAAACATATTCATGAAAATGAAAAAGTGATCAAAGTATAAACCTAACATCGCGCACCTAGATTAAAACAGTAGCCACTCGATGCCCGTGCAGAAACTAAAGTTTTAAATGGTTTTGATAGTTAGGATTATGGGATTAGTATTTTTTACAAAAGATACCTACAGCGCCATCTTTTGAAGAGTAATCATGATAAATTTAAATTTGTTTTTTTGGTAATGCAACTTCGTTTATACAATCCGAATATACAAATAACTAAAAACTTTTTGAGTTGTTACAGTTTCGAAGTAGGTGTTCAATATAATAACCATAAGAATATGTTTATAATTCGTAACAATGGTGATGATAAATAGTTGAAAGTGTTGGCGTGGACTTAAAAAGTCCATAGATCTAAAGTCTATAGATAAAAAAATCTATAGACTTGTTAGGTGTGAAGAAATCGGTTAGCGTTTTAGGAAACATCGTTGACCCACACTAATTGTTAAAACAACACAATTCTGCTTCTAATTTCGAATGAACTGATTCGACATTAAATAGTTATTGTTTTTATTTCGTTTTAGACAAAATAGATTTAGGTCTGTATAAGGAGTTTCTTAAAGAATTTTGCAAGTACACTGGGCTTCCTCTAGCATATTTCGCTGGAGTTAGAAAGGAACCATCGTATGTTAAGGACGATGTAAGTTGTTTTTATTTTCTCAGACAATAATACTTGATTGTAAATTTCTAATATACACAGATCGATGCACTGTCAGATTTGGTCCCAGTGCCTACCGAAGACGATGTAAGTTTTTTTTTATTTTCCCAGACAATATAATACTTGATTGTATAATTCTAATATACTTAGGACGATGCAATGTCAGATTTGGTCCCAGTGCCTACCGAAGACGATGTAAGTTTTTTTTTATTTTCCCAGACAATATTATTTTATTGTAAATTTCTAATATTCACACGTGGGTGAACCGTCAGATTTAGTCCCGGTGCCTACAAAGCACGATGTAAGTTTTATATTTTCTCAGACAATTATATCTGATGGCATAATTCTAAGAATGGTGGTTTACAAATTGATATTTTAAATTTTATTTCATAGAAAAATTACTATTAACTGATCTTTGACGCTTATTCCTATACATAATGTATTAAATTAAAATCCTTTTGTATAATTGAAATATTTAAATTTGCAGATTGATCTAAACCATTAATCATAATCTTCATTGTGAATAAAAAAAATAATTAGTCTCTACTGAATAATTAGTTTAATAGCGATTTAATAAACGATGATTAATAGAATAATATTTAATTTTGTTAATTTAAATAAGCATACATTCGGGTAATGTCAATCTCCGGACTTGTATCACATAATGCGTTGTTGACTATTGTTCTAAAGTCTGACTTATTCAAATTTTACAAACATGTTTTTGTTACAAAATATATAATAATAATAATACAAATAATATTTTAGATTCTAGAAACATCTTTCGATGACTGTAGAAAATGGTTGAAGAAACCTTCAGAACCTACTATTTCAGTGTTTGAATTTTTGTCGTACGCTGGCAACAACGATCAAACTGTAAATTCCACACTACGCTACTTGAAAGATACTCAAACCGGCGCTACAAACAAAAGTAACCACTAACTATACTTTATCTATCATTTAATAATAACTTCGTTGCAAAACTGTGAAGTAATTCGGCCTAAGGATTTACTCTTATTCGCGTTTATACAATTTGAAATACGTTATTCCTGTTGTATTTGTAACATTGTTAATATACATATCAAAAAATATAATTTTAAACTCGCTATGTACATATATTAACAAAGAGTGTTGAAACAACATTTTGCTGAAGTTCAGGGACCAAAATAAAAACGAAATATAATAACTATAATATTATGTATGTACGACGGTAAATGCTTGGTGTTTAAAAGTATGGCACTGTTGATAGATTCACTCTAAAAGAAAAAAGTTTAAAAAAAATAATTTGACTACAGATTTAGATCCACTCAAGATTTATCTTTAGTCTAATTTTCATATCTTCAGTCCATGAACTTTAGAAAAATATGTAATTTTGTCGGGTGGTTTTCTCCATTTACAAGAAAAAGGGATGACATTTAGAATTTCTTATTCCAATAAAATACCTTTTAGGTACGATTTTTGATTTTTAAACTTATTAACATTAAGAAACCGGTTTATCGTTTACGAAGGTATCGTGTAGCCAGGCATAACAATAAACAATTTAAAAAAAACACTCATCATTATTAAAACAACACATTCTTAGGTCTGTAGCTAATATAAAACAAATCGTTCAAAAAAATAACAAACTTAGTATTAGGCTAATAATGTATATTAAGTTTCTTTAATAACAAATATACTATATTTATTTTTCTCAACCAGCGTTTTTGTTCTGTAACAATCATGGACTGAATAAAACACAATCTGTGACGGTATAATATGAATAAATGCGTTGTATTAGGTAGTTATGATTGAGAAAGTATAGTTTAACATTAAGGTTAAAGTGGAGAGCGTATATTTGAATATATTTATATTTTAATGAAAAACATTTTATTTTGTTTTAGAAAAAATAGATTTAGTTCTATACAAGGAGCTTGTCCAAGCAATTTGCAAGGACAATAAGCTTCCTTTAGGTATCTTTGCAAAAATTAGAAAAGACGCATCGGAAGTTAAGAAACGAAAACGAATCACATTATAATATCCGGAATAATACCTACTCAATACTCATATCAAAATTATGATAAAATTAAGCAACTCATTTGAGTTTAGTATAATATTATATATTAATTGTTTTTCCATAAATAAACTGCTATTTAAAATGATTAGTGTAAAATGTTAAATTTTAACAGAGTACAATAAAATATTTAATAAATGTAAAGATATTGAAGGTACTTGAAATGGACTATTTCGTTCTATCTTCTTTCTTCATTGCTAATAAAAAATAAACAAATTGAATTATAAAAATGGACTATTCATTAACTAATTTGTTGTTACCTTTTTTTTATGCTCTATTTAAGTTTTTTGGGCCCTTTAAAACTAATATGTGAGACCTTCCTGAAGTCACAGGATATGAAGCTGCGCATACTTTACATATGCACGCCTAAGAATTGTATACATATTAACCTTTGTTAAATATCTTTTGCTCTCTGTCCGCATATTATACTGAATATTTGTCGTATGAGTAAATCATTAAGTACTTATATCACTGATAAATTCACATATATACACAGATAAATTGCGATGCTGATGATCAGTGGACTTTTTGGTTCGGTTAGGTCCAAAAATAAGATTACTGGTTTTTTGAACATTTTCTACATATTTTGAACATTGTGGCCATCTTAAATATTTTGAAATTCAATGGTTAAGATGGGCATTTAAAAAAATTATTTTTGCCTATAGCGCTACTCCACCACACCTCTCCTTTTTCAACAAATTGAAATAACTCCGAAAATATATTTTAAACTTAATTATTTTGATTTTTCTTTTAAATTTGGAGTACTTTTGTGTTTCATATATTTCATAAGTTTATAATATAATATAGTTCATAGAAGTTCATACACTATATTTCAAGTTTGTAAGGCCATAATAACCTTTAAAATCCACATTTGTAGTTTTTTAGTCACATTTGAATACCAATGGGCCTTGCCAGGTTTTGGTTTATTTAAATGCACATAAAAAAGTCCAACAACACACTGCTATATGGTGTGAAATATAAAATGTACTCATACAAATATATTTTCAAATGTGTACTCAGGTGATATTATTATGAAGCGAAATTCAGAAAATTAAACGAAATAAAAGAAAACGCTTTTGAGTATCTTTTAATATAGACGGTGCACCACAAACACACCAAAACGACTGTTAGAGAATAATAATTTAAACTGAACAAAATAAGAAGTATGCTTGTAACACTTTGCGTATAGCAAATGACATTGATTTTAAAACGATTAACTTGGTCGGTCAGCTTGGAAATTCTGAAAAATGTGCACGTTTAAAAGAACTGGAAAATAAAAATCCAGATGCTTTAATTACACTATAAGTATTAGCACAATTTTGACTATATTTTAACTTATTTTTTTTTTCTATATGAATATTATATCTTAAGATATATAAGTTTTTACTATCACAGTAATAACGTTGTAAACATTATTTAAAACAATTTCAAGTGAATAAATTATTATTATTATTGAAATGGGTTGTCTCCTTTTTCTGCTTTATCGAATACAAATACCTTTTTGATAACACATGTGTGATAACATTGAAACTTTATGTAACACTCGACATATTTGAATCCCCTTGAATTGAGCGGTTATTGCAAATTTGAAAGAGAATTTTTTTTGTAATTACACATAACCCCCTGCAACGGGGCATGAGAGTGGGGAACGTAAATGTGAAATTATCAGGTGAGCACTTATGTTATGTCATTTGTTGACAAAAGAAATTTTGCTTATGGCAGCCCGTACCATTCAAGTTAGTTCTTCCATATTAAATACTAATGATACAAATTTGAATATTGTCTAATTGTAAAATAAAATAAACTAAAAGTATTTTCGAAGAATATCTACAAAATTACAATTTTTTTGAGACAGCATAAAAATCTTATCCTTACTAAAGATCGGAGCTAGACAATATATGTACAGGCTAGGCAAACTCTAATTGTTTTGTACCAATCGGTACAAATTTCAGGTAAAATTTAAAAGGTAGATCTAGAATAAGCCTAAAGCACATACAATTTTCTCAAAAATCCGTAATCAAATATTTTTTTAATTAGGGAAACTAAAAAAAAAAAAAGGAAAAATTAAATTTTGACCGTAGAGTATAGTCTAGGGTGCTCCGTGCTATGTATGATCGAATCGGCAGTCAACACGTACTTGAAAATATTATTTTAATTATATTGTATACAAGCTAGTTGTGTACCCAGCTTTGCCTGAATTATAAGCTGCTGACGTACCTTACCTCTTGTCATGCACCGTCATCTAGTGATAACTAGATTTTAATGATAGTAAATACATTTTTAGGCACAAAATTACAATGTTTTTATCGATATTTGTACTTCCACCATTACAGATTTGCATCGAAGCGTTTATACAAAAGTTATTTAATTACTTTCAGTTACAATAATGTATATAGTTCTGAGAGTTCCTCTTGTCCTTATATGTCCCAACCTAATGAAATGTTATTTGATGTGCTTAATGTAAATTATTAAAAAAAATCAAAATTGGCTAAAAAATAAAATAATTCTCTCTAAATAATTAAAATGTTTTGGTTTTTTTAAACGTATATTTGAATTATAACAACCAATTAATAATGATAAAATGGATTTTTATAGCTTTACAGATTTTGCAGTTTTTTTTAAATGTATTTTATAAACTTGAATATTTGATTAAGCGAATTGCTGTTGTGGCTTTGTTGCAAATGAGGGGTTTCCAGTTCTATGTTGGTTGGATTTTCCATTATGTTGGCCAGATACTCGGTTATACGAATTCGTTGAAATTTTTTGGAATTTGTTACGGGTTGTATGTAACACGGGTTGTATTAGTTACGGTGTCATACTCAAAGCCAACAGAGTACTTTTCGTAATCTTTTACAGTCACGTTGACGATCAAATCTAACCGGTATTTAATTAGCTGCATTACAAAGAGGGGATGATGTGTTTCGTTCATTTCCTGGACGTTATTCGTAATTCTGGCATTTCTATCGTCTTCGTTCGGTCTGCAAAAATTGTTATAGAATTCACCCAAGTTTTTTAAGGCGATGTTCATATTATTTACGTGAGAATTAATAATTGAGCCGTGGAAATTCTTGTCCAATGATGTTGCGTCGAAATACATCTGGTCGTAGAACCTCTTGAAATCTTCCATCGTTTCGAACACGTCCTTGTCGTACGACGTTATTGGAAATACCTCGTGAATACACGAAAGCGTACCTAGCACGCGCACCACCATTTGGTCGATTTTTTTTATCATTTCCAAAAAGTTACGTACACATTCCAGCGATTCGGAGGGGTCTTTGATGTTTCTACACTGGAGAATTGCTTCCATGTTGTAATTGTAACATAATTTTAGATTGCTGGCAAACTGACAGCTCAAAAGCTGATGTGCTTGACGAATTTTACGACCCGCGTTTTCGGCAGTGACTAGTTCGCGGCCGCCATTACCGTCGGGTTTTAGTATATCTTTAACAGACAAAATGCTTTCGGTGCCATCTTCCGTCCATCGCACGACAATCTTGAAACCGTCGTGTTGCCTCAAAATCTTCCAACCGGGTAAATTAAACATATAATTTAAAGCGTCCACTTGGTACGGCGTTACCGGATCAGTTGCTGCTAAAGTGTGCAGGTAAACCGTTAAACAAATATACAAAATATGACGTCCGACTTTCATTTTTACTCGAAGACCACAACGCTCGTAAAGTACAACACAAGCTTGACTAAAATCCGTTGCAGGAAAATGTATATCGTAGAATTAATTAATAAAAGCCGTACAAAAGAAATTAGAGAGATATTAAATCCTTACTGAGTATAAACGTCTAGAATACCGTACGCGGTAAGCAATGGCGATAGACATAAATTAAAATTCTTTTTTTATCCGCGTTAATCGGTGTCGTTGCCTATTAATATTTGTTCAGGTGGTGCTTTGAGCTCGAAATCAAAAAACAAAAACCTATTGGTATCTAAAAAGTACATTATTTTATCGTATTATAAAACGTGTACAAAAATGAAACCGTCGTAGTCATTAACCAGCTGAAAATTTTAATTTTTATATTATGATGGATGCTACTAGGGGTTGATCTGTAGGGTCTGTAGTAATTTGTCGACAAACCAAAAAAAAAAAACCCTTTCCCCGGTGCTATTTAGTATTTAAGGTCTAAAAACTAGACGGTAGCTAATTTTATTACGGTGCTATAACGCACACATATTTCTTAGAAAATCTCAAAACAAAAATTGTTAAGGTGCTCCAAAATTAGCATTATTTTAGGCACATTGTATTGTATTTTTCGCTAAAATTTAGCGAATTTATAATTCTTATGCGTAAAATTGCTACTATTAAAGTTTCTTTAGAACAACTATATTAGAAAATGATCTTTATAGTATTATTAAAATCCAAAATTCCAAATGTACATATTTCGACCGATACAACAAGCAAGTAATAAAAAATCTATATCTGTTTGTAAAACTGATCAAAGACCTCTTCAACAATTTTTAATACAAAATAGGAATTTTAAATTGTTTATTTGAAAAAAAATGAATATCAAATAAATAATAATTTAGGTAAACTGTTCATTTATACCTTTGATATATATATTACGTTAATTTTTATAAAAAATTGTTTTTCATTGGTTTAGTGGACCTTTACAAGAAGTACTTTGCGTTTTGAATCTTTATTTGTACGCCTAACATTTGGCCAAATGTTTGTTTCCTATTTTTTGCATCGACGAAGAAACCGAAGTAATAAATTATTGTAAAACAAATACCTTATATTAATGCTCGTGTACCTTCAACTTTATTACTAGAACCCAGTGTTCTTATATTATTTTCGATAATAATAGGTCGAAATATATACCTATAACAAGAGCGATTTTCTAGCATAGGTATGAGATTATAGATACAGGGTGATTCATTAAAGGCAAGACACTAATTTTCTCTTAAAATATTCCCAATTTTCCAGTTTATATTTTTGGAGACACTTAAGTTTGTATTATTTTAAATACAAGAAACCGTTATTTAAAATCAATAACTGATATTTGATAGTAAATATCGGTGCGAATATTGTAATGAAATTTGTTTTGTTGTTTAATAAAATAATAAAAAAAAAAAAATACTAATTTTTATCATCCCATCTTTGT